AAGCCTATGCCCCCTCTAAAGGGTACCGTTAGTCACAGAGGCAGATGTGACCTTATATATTATTTTAGGCCCTACTTCCCTGTTTTTTGCTGTCTGGACTTCAGTTTCTTTCTTTTGACTCTTGTCTTGCTCCCTTGATATTTGGGGACTTGTACCTTTTCACAGGAACTGCAGTGGCTCAAGTGGTTAAGACGCTGAACTGCAGGCTGTGGAAGGTCGGTAGTTTGGCAGTTCGAGACCCGGGTGCCGCATGACGGAGTGAGCTCCCGTCTCTAGTTCCAGCTCCTGCCAACCTAGCAGAGGAGCTGCGGTGGCTCAAGTGGTTAAGACGCTGAACTGCAGGCTGTGGAAGGTCAGTAGTTCAGCGGTTCAAGACCCGGGTGCCGCAAGACAGGGTGAGCTCCTGTCTCTAGTTCCAGCTCCTGCCAACCTAGCAGTTCGAAAGCAAGAAATTGCAAGTAGATAAATAGGTACCACTTCAGTGGGAAGGTAACAGCGTTCCGTGCGCCTTGGTGTTTAGTCATGCCGGCCACATGACCACGGAAACGTCTTCGGACAGCGCTGGCTCTTTGGCTTTGAAACGGAGATGAGCACCGCAACCCTAGAGTCGGATTCGACTGGCTTTCAAGCAAGGGAACCTTTACCTTTACCTCTTCACAAAAAAAAAAAAAGAGAGAAGCTTCTCTAAAACATTAGTTTTAAAAAACGCCACAAGCGTCGTGGCACACGTGTTGGGAATCAGGTGCATCCTCCCACTTCTACCAGTGCAGCAGACCAAATTAAAAAACTTCCACAACCATTTCCCACATGACGGGAAATACGTGTGCATTTAAATGCATGGATTGTGACACCACATGCAGGAGAGATGATGTGAGAATCAGTACAGAAGCGAAGGCGCATTCGGTTAGTATATTGAGAAAGTTGGCTGAGCGGGTCCTTACGGAGATTGAGGGGCGCTTTCCACTTCCTTGGCTTTTGGATTAATCCCCAGTTTCCCACTAAACCTCAAAAAATCATATGAGTGGCAGAGGGACTGGAGTCAATAGATGTTGTCGTCTGGACTCATGGTGAGACAATCACAGGACTGGCCTGCTAAGCTCCACACTCTCAAAGCTCCACCTGTGTCATCCACACTCATTCGGCTGAGCGAATTAACCATTAGGTGCACCCTCCTAGCGTGGCACTTTCAGGACACCAGCTCTTAAACGCTGTTATTAGCAGCAAGCGTTCTGAATTTGTTATCCACTCTTGGTGTATGGTATGTGATGTTCCAGAGAGCTGAGAATTGAACATGGCAAGTGCCTATTAATTATGTTGGAAATTCTGTTGGAAATTCTCCAACTATGTGACATTTACATGAAATCCCATATTGACAGTTGATAGGTATAATCATTCCCCTGGTATAGGAGGAACCTTGTATACCTTCCATGGCCATTGATTTTAATGCTGACTTGGGTAGCTCAGGCTAGCCTGCTCTTGGGAGGTAAGCAGGGTTGGGCGGGAGACTTCCGAGGAAATCCAGGGTTGCTCTGTGAAGGAATCATAGGGAAGGGACCCCCAGGGTCATCTAGTCCAACCCCAAGGAAGGCAATGGCAAACCCTCTCTGAACACCTCTTACCCTGAAAACCCTGCGAGGGGTCGCCATAAGTCAGCTGTGACTTCTTTTCTTTTTTTTTAATCCCCAAAGGGATATTTTTTTATTTTGCAAAGACTACAAAAACTACCAAGAAATATTAAGGAAGGGACTACAACTAGGGATAAAGAAAAGCAAACCACACTAAACTAAAACCCCAAGAGGAGGAGATCTTTTTACTGTTGGTAAAAGTGTTAGTACTACGAGTGTTAATATCACAATATACTTGTGGAGTTCTTGCTTATAACAGTTCGCTATTTACATGTTGTGGAGTTCTTGCTTATAACAGTTCGCTATCTATATGTCAATTTGTTAGTTGTTCTCTTCTCTCCTAAGTCGAGCTGTGACTTGACAGTACTTTACACACATTGTGTTTCATCAGCCAGTTTTTCTTGCCTCTCTTTATTAGAAAGGACCCAAATGCTTGACCTTCCCAAGTATATTTCATTCAGAGACATCCTTCTAGATGTAATAGCTAGACATCTTAATACACTGGCAGCAAACCACTTTTCGTAGCGTAATGGCGACCCCCACGATCAGGGTTTTTTCAAGGCATGAGATGAGCAGGGGTGGGTTTGCCACTGCCTTCCTCCGCACAGCAGCCCCCAGTCTTCCTTGGTGGCCTCCCATCCAGTTAATAGCCATGGCCAACATCCACCAATCTGTTTGGTTTTTATCCACTGGCCCTTGGTTGGGCAGCTACCTTTTCAGATACGAGAAGAAGAGATTGGATTTATGCCCTGCCCTTCACTACCCAAAGGAGTCTCAGAAGCGGCTTACAAACTCCTCACCTCCCCACAACAGACACCCTGTGAGCAATGTTCCCTCTAAACTGTGGAGTCTCGTGAGCAAAAATTATACTCTGAGCTACTGGTATTAAAGT